CGCAGCTTCTGTGCCTCCGTAGCATTACCTTCAGCTTCTTTCTTCACCGCTTGAGCCAGCAGCTCTGCCTTCTTGGCGGCATCAAGCGTAACGTCAGCATTTTGTAGTGCCTCGTCAGATATTGCCAGCGCATTTTGGACAAACTTCACTGCGCTGTTGGAGATGTCTACAGCTTTCTTGGCCAAAATACCCTTTGACTTATCTGGCCGATCTTCTGCCCATCCGGCCATTCGCGATGAGGCATTCATCCACCGACGCACGTCCTGGCCATTGCTCGTCGCCAGCAGAGCAGTTTCTGCTGCATTCATGGCCGCCGCCGCCACCGCTTCATTGGCACTCGTCAGTGCCGCAATCTTGACCAATCCCGCAGCCTTAGTGGCATTCCCTTTTGCCCACTGCGCCACCACATGTGCGGTGTAAACATACTGCACTGCATTCGCAACCTCCTCCGCGGCTTTTTTAGCTTTCGTCGCTGCTTTTTGCGATTCGGCCTTAAACGTTCCTTCTGTCGCTGCATCAAGTTCTTTTCTAGCTGGAGGATTTTTCACCGAACTCTCTGCAGTTTTCAGTGTATTCTGAGAAAGTTTCAAGGCTTCCAGAATTGTACCATTTGCTCTCTTGAGTAACTCGATGAACTCCGTGGTACGCTTCACTGCTTCTCCTGCCATCGCATGGGCTGTGTTTATTTCCTTCAGAGCCGGCTTTGCAGCCTCCACTGGCCCTGCTGCCTCGGCTGCCGTGGCGGAGACGGACACACAGAGCAGCGCAAGGGAAAACACACAGACAACACGTCCGTGCACCATAACAGGAACAGTCATACTGGCTTGAGTGGCTTGGGCTTACTTGTCTAGCGGGGAGAGAGAAGAGCACAGGCAAACACTTACAGACGCTCTCACACACACACCGGGGGAAGAGCAGCACCACACAGACAACCTCCAAGCAGCAGCAGCAGCCCAACATACGCAGCGTGGCACACCACACACACAAGAGAGAAGCAAAGAGAGAACAAATTATTCAGCGTGCCGCGCACAGCAGTATGCAAAGCAAAAGCCCAAGCAGAGAAAGAAAAGAAAGACGCCCAGAAGTGACGACACACCGCCCAGTGAGTATCGTCAGGGTTTTAATTGGAAACATGCGAGGTCTCGCAAAGTTGGGTAGCAATGAAGTTTAAGAAAAAGCAATAAAGCATGCGGGTATTTATTTATCAGGTAACAAACAATTAAAGGGGAGTGGCCACCCCTTCCACGCACTCTCTGCTCAGCGCACACCCAGAAAGATGAGTGCAGCCAGCAGGGGCATGAACAACGGTGCGCGCACCCACGCAGGACTGCTGCTGGCGTCAGCACTGCCAGCGTCACGCAGTTGGTTGCCCGCAGCCACAACGTCAGCAACAGCCTGGCCACCTTCAGCGTCGGAGTTGGTGGCTTGTTGTGCAGCAGGGGGGTCGGCCATTGCAGCTTCCGTCTCAGGCATGCCGTCAGTGCCTGAAGGCTTCACAGAGCCCTCCATTTTGCTGTTTTCGGTTTCTGCCACGTGATGATCCTCGGATTTCTTAAGAGGAGGTACCGTGGGGCTCCCTGTTTCAACCTTCGGCTCTTCACCATTTTTGCCTGCGGGTGGCGCAGCAGCAACAGCAGGAGTGTGCTTGTCGGCGTTCCGTTCAAGTAGATCGTCTTTGCGTCTATGAGCAGCTTGAGAAGGGTCTGGCTGAGGTCTTTCTTTCCCGTTGGTATGCAGTGTCGAATCCTGCTTAGCTTCTGTGTCTGACAGTGGAACAACTTGCTTCTTTGTGCTCTTCAATGCCTCCTGGGCAGCCTCTTTAATGGCTTCAGCGTTTTTATGTACTGTGTCAGCGTGCGTCGCTGCCGTGACAGCGTGCTGAGAAGCTGCTGTAGCTTCTTGCAGTGCCTTCGTTGCCTTCTCCAGCGCCTGCTGTGCGCTATTCATTGCCTTTTCGCCCTCCCTCAGTGCGTTATTGACCTCGTTTTGAGAAGTCAAAATTATTTTTTCTTTAGTTACTTTGAGCTGTTCTGCTGCCTTTGCGAAATCATGTGCACTCTTAGCTTTACTGTAGGCTTCACCTGCAGCATCCCTTGCGTCATTGGCGCTGCCGTATGCTGCCGTAGCCTGTTGATGAGCCTCTTTCGCACTATCGATAGCCGATTTAACACTCTTCACTGCTTCCAAAATGTTTTCCTTTGTCTTCGGAAATGTTTTAACCTTCTCCTGAACTTGCTGTAGCACCATCTCAACCGTACTCACTCCGACAATCGTTTTATTTGCTGCAGTTACTGCTTCTGAAGCATCCCGGGCGGCCAGTGTACATGCGTCATGCGCAACTTTTGTCTTCTTTGCGGCCTCATTGGCTTTTTCGGCTGCATTTGCAACTTTATTCTGCCACTCAGCGTGATGACTTAACAAAGCATCATTATCCTTCGCAGCCTCCATTTCTTTTTTTAGCGTGTTCAATGTTTCATAGGCAGCACTCGTTGTCGCTTTGGCTACAAGTGCATCACTCACAGCTTTGTTGGCTGCCTCCTTGGCTGCAGCAGCCTTCTCCTTTGTTTCACCTGCTTCCTCCAAAGCCCCACTCCCCGCCTCCACGGCATTACTTGCAGCAGTCACCACAGCCTTCACTTCCTCAGGACTCATCGACACCACCACGGCCTTCACTGCGCCACTCCCGGCGGGGCTCACCTGCACCGCCGCTGACAGCACTGCATAGTTGCTGGACAGCACACCACCGCTATGGAGCGCCGCAGGTCTGCCGTATTTCTCCACCGGCTCATGCTGGGGCTGCGCAGCCACGCACAAGGCCGTGCAGCACAGAGCAGCGGCCAACACACACACAACGCAGCGCACTGTCGCCATCATTCAATATCCCTTGAGCAGCTGAGGGCTGCAGGAAGGAGAAAAGAGAATCGATGCACAGCAGGCAGCCCCAACACACACACACACACACACGGAGCGGAAGGGATCAGCAGGCACAACACAGGCGGCATCAACCATGATGAAAAGAAACCCATTAGAGAAAAGAGAACTGGACGGCGGAAGAGGCGCACACACTCCGCTGGAGTCCACACCCACAAGCCCCCAAACAAAGAGGGAACAACGAGGCAGCAGCAGCGCTCGTGGACGCAATTGTACTGCTGGCCTTCACGTCCCTTTACGTGTGTCCCGGCGTGAGTGGCGCAGACACGGCGGGAGAGATGCAGCGAAGGACGCACCACACACAGATGAAAAGAGAATCCCCCAGCAGGAGAAACAGTTAGTGAGCGGCGCACAGCAGCGCGCAAAGCAAAGCCCAAGCAATAAACGAAAAGAAAAGAAACCATGCCTCCCCTTCCCA